GTGGAGTGTCTACGGGGACTTCGCCCCGTACTCCAAGATAGCCATGAACGCCGAGGAGGAATCCTGAAATGACGGCAAACGAGGCTTTGGGAGAGGCTACGACAGGAGGCTTCGTACGACCACCCACAAAAGCGTTGCGGACACATCATAGATAGGAGAAGAAGAAGAATAAGAACAAAGGAGTTACGAGTAGGCCTACGAAATACGTTTCTGGAAAAAAGCCTCTGTTTATGTTCTGCAACTGACCGTAACGAAGAAACAGGGTTTCAAGGCTGGCACGACAGACGACACTCGCGAGGACTTGTCCAAGGACATTCCAAGAACTGGAAAACCACGCATAATTACTAGAACACGTCGAGCAGTCGTACAGGCAGATGCAACAAAACTATATCTATATTTATTTTCTATTTTATTAATATTCATTTAGTCTTTATATTATTTACATTACAGACTGATATAAAAACAACAAAACGTTCACCCACACTAAAGTCACATTGAGCATGATGTATATATACAGAACAACATCGAGTATGTTATTAAAATGGAATAAAATCTGGAAAAGAACATCGTTTGATATCTGATAAAAAAAAATGTACGCTAAAATAATATATAGAAATTGTATTTAAGTTATTATTGATTTGAATCTTTATATAATTATATACACCTAAAGATAGTTCTTTAACTGAAACATGTCGTGAAAAATGATGGTCTAATGTAAAATCGAATATTTCGATAAAGAACATCATTTGATATATTTTAAATATTTTAAATGTTAATTATTGTAATATTTTAATATTTAATAAGAATTTATTGTGATTAGACGGACAAGATTTAAAATATATATATATCTAAAAGTTTTCAACATTTGTATGCACGTAGCTGGTAAACTTGTTGTAACAAACGTACACGGCCTTATAACCCAGAAGACATGTAGATTACTAAATGTGTCATACAAGACAAGGACAAGAATCAAACTGCCATGTGATTGAAACAAATTTTAGTTAATAAGTCAGACGATCTATAAATTCAAATATCTTATTTCAAGGTTAAAGTGCAGACATTCAACCAAGTCCGTAAGTTTGTCTCCAATGTTATCTTTCCCATCTACCAACTGTTCTTTGTAACAAAGACGCATTGTGGTTTCCTTCAGGCAGGAAACGAATTTATAAACATTATTCAAATGAAATTCGTGCATGATATTGTTAAAATAGAACCTCCCTGTTGACCTCCGTTTATTGTAAAGTGACATCTTTCATATCTGCAATGGGTCACTACGCAGAGGTCTTCAACCCCCTTAAATCCAACGCCAAAGGGGGAGGGGAAGCTCGCCTAAAACATATTTAATAATTCAGTCCGTACCGCGAAGAAAACACAACACTTCACCATTATAAAGATCAACTGGGAACCGCTGTTTAAAAAATAATCAGTGTTTATAGTGAGAATAATAATAATAAGCATTTATACAAATAAAGACTTATTAATTGTTGAAGCAGGTGGGGCCTACTACTACTACCGGGCTACAACGTGTTAAATTATGTAAAAAGTATTAGGCAAACACAAGTATTCTTGTAAGATCATACTGCCTCCATCATCAGGGCGATGATCGCCCTGATGACGGAGGCAGTATGACCTCTGAAACGTTGGTTAACATCGACCAGACTACACGGCGCAACAACCCAGAAGACAGAAATCTTCATACTCTGATGACGGAGGCAGTATGACCTCTGAAACGTTGGTTAACATCGACCAGACTACACGGCGCAACAACCCAGAAGACAGAAATCTTCATACTCTGATGACGGAGGCAGTATGACCTCTGAAACGTTGGTTAACATCGACCAGACTACACGGCGCAACAACCCAGAAGACAGAAATCTTCATACTCTGATGACGGAGGCAGTATGACCTCTGAAACGTTGGTTAACATCGACCAGACTACACGGCGCAACAACCCAGAAGACAGAAATCTTCATACTCTGATGACGGAGGCAGTATGACCTCTGAAACGTTGGTTAACATCGACCAGACTACACGGCGCAACAACCCAGAAGACAGAAATCTTCATACTCTGATGACGGAGGCAGTATGACCTCTGAAACGTTGGTTAACATCGACCAGACTACACGGCGCAACAACCCAGAAGACAGAAATCTTCATACTCTGATGACGGAGGCAGTATGACCTCTGAAACGTTGGTTAACATCGACCAGACTACACGGCGCAACAACCCAGAAGACAGAAATCTTCACAAGTATTCTTATGTCTTCAACCGTTTATCTCAGTTAAATATTAGTGATATAGCGTACTTCTAAGATTCAGGCACGAAATTATTTTTTTTTAAATTGGTTAGAGGTTAAAATACACAAATTTTCATTCTTAGTATGTAGACCCAAGTAATCTAATTCCTGATATTAATATTTATAAGTTTGTTTTATAATATTTCAGTATTACAGCACCTGAATCCTAAATACGAAGAAACTGGCAATGAATTTTAGTCCACACGGCGTTACATCCCAGAAGATCAACACAGACATGTTCAGTGCTGTGATAACATAAGATCTCAAAAGTCTCCTTAGCTTTCTATAAAACGGTTTAACCACTGATACGCAGATATATTAAATTCTTCTTCCAAGGTTTTGTTAACTACGTAAACATCCGGAACAGTTAACTTCTCAGACTTCAATCTCGAAGAGATATACAAAATATTGGCAGATGGGTGTGTCCAGATAGCGCCGTGTACCTATAAAACAGGCTCTAACCTAGGCAACTAACTACTGCCTTGACTGTGGGTATGTCGCGCATTTAAACCAGTTACGTAGCCCCTGAGACAAAACCACCCGACACACCTACTACGTCCTAAGATTAAGACATTTGCTACAATTCAGCTAAATGTTTAAGCTACATCACGTTATTTTCAAGCGAATCCAATCCATGCCCCTAAACCAACATTCCCAAGATTCATTTTGATATTGCCTTCTACTTCCGACTTATTCCTTCCCTCAGACTTCACATCCAAAACTTTGTGCGTATTTCTTATCTCCCACCATAAATATACGAATCAACAAATCAATTATAACTGAATTTTTAATTAAATAAATGAAATCTAAGACTATCTGAATTCCATATTTATTAAAACTGCCCCTAAAAGAATACAAAAATTACCTTGTGAAAAATTATACGGTTCAACAAAATAAAACATTCTGCTGAAAGCAAATATGTTTAAAAATATACACGAGTCAATTATTTACATTTGTGTGTAAATTGCCTGAACATGAATTTTCTGTCATGTGCTCGCGGTTAACATGCTCATAAATAATTATGCTCTGATTTCCAGTACCCTTTTAATTTACCATCAGCTTAAAGAGCACCCCCCCACCAAAGAAAACATACACAAATATAAGAAGGGTATGAACTTGGGAAAGTGGTTTACAAGGTAGGCAGAGGAACGAGGTTGGTTTAGACGAATCTAGAGACCTATTCAAAATCCTACGCATGTTCTCAAGGTCAGAATTACCTGGAGAGACCTAGGCCCATATCCGCGTATAAATATATATCCTACGTGTATATTCTGATTCAATATAAAATGTACATAGAGCTGAAAGAATTCATGTTACATCAAGTCAGCCACATTTTTTCTAGATTCAAATCGAGCTCTTTCTCAATTCCCTACCAATCACGCAGAATTGTCGTAAGCCCAATTTAAGGTACCACCCTGTCATTTACCTTGAGGGCCTGAGGTTAAACTACGAAAAACCTGTCAGGAAAATCATTTTCCGGGTCGAAATTTAAAGCAAGAGTGGCACCAAGTCGATCACCACGTTCATTATCGCACTGACGTAACATACAAATGGAGG